CTCCCTGCGCACGGGGGCCGGGGACCAGGACCCGCCGGTGCGACTCGCGGCTCACGGTGGGCACGTGGACGTCGTGAAACTGCTCGTCAGCGAGGGCGCCGACGTCATCAAGTGCGACGACGTCAACGAGTGCCTGTCGTTCCTATAGACACGATGGAAGTTTTTGACGTTACTCTAAGACTATGTACCAGAGTTGAGATTATTTTTACTTTTCAGTGCCGTGCTGTTGTGTCGTCGCCCTGACACGCGGGTTGCACGTAACCACTATGAAGAACCACGCACAGGGATCTATTTTTCCTTGTACTATCGAACGGTCGCTGGTAGACAAGTTAATCACCCGCCGCTGAGCGAGGCCATTTACAACGTCCGGAGACGTAATCACGTGGCGTGTGACGACGTACGTTCCATGCCGTGGGCAATAGCCGCACTAGCTCAATGCGTTCTCGAGTTATTGTGGTTACAAAAAAACAAACAAACAAACAAACAAACTTCACAGTGTAATCATTGTTACTAATATCGGCTATCGCTTGGCCAATAATGATTTTGAAAAAAAGAGCAAAAAAAACAAAACAACAACTGTTGTTTTTTTATGTATGTATATGCTACAGCAGCTTCGGTATGGTCAATTATATCTCTCGTAAACGGTTGCGTTGCATTTTATGATTGGTATGATATAATTTTTCACTTGACTCAAAGTATTTCCCAATGCTTTGAGCGATAATGACGTATGGTAAAGAATCATCTTACAAACCAATAAAAAAAATCCTTAAATTGTTAAAAGCAACGCGACGGGTCCTAGCGACGTTCCAATCTCAGCGTAGCTGCATTCGTCACCACAGTAGCCCTTTTCCCAAACCTCGGCCGCACAGAGCGAGTTGAAATAGAAATATCGCATGAGGTGCGCGTGCGTGCGCCTGAAAATCACTAATATTTGATTGTGATTGGAAGGAGAAGTAAACTTAGTTGTGTGGGGGAGGGGTGCCGCTGAGGGAGGGGGAGGGGGGGTAGAACCGTACACAGGGAGGTGGCAGGAAGAGATATCCTCCAAGAATTGGTGCCACATCCCTATCTATACAAACCTCAATATTTGGTCTTAATTTAGAGAGAGAGAGAGGGAAAGAGAGAGGGAGAGAGAGGGGGGGGGAGGGGAGAGGGGGGTAGGTGGTAGGGGCTGCACCCCTACTCCGATTGAAGCCATTTTTAGTCCTTGTCGGGATGGGATGGGGACGCCAGCAAGCCGGGGTGGTGCTCCCCAAGAACGTCAAGGATGCCCCGGAGAAGGATCCGCGGCCGCTCACCATGGCCGAGGAGATGAAGCCATTGCTCGTGGTGATGCGCCAAATTTTTCTCATGCCAATCCGTGAGTCCCTACCAGCTTAGCTCGGGATCAGGCCGACTACCTCACCTCACTACCTCACCTCCATACTTCTCAGCAAGAAGTCAGGTCTTTTTCAGTTTATATCTTTTCGTATTGGTGAAATCATCGACCTGGTTTATTTTTATTGTATAGTTTATAGAGGGAGTCGCTCGCTTGGCATTTCTTAATGGTGATGGTCGAAAGTAGTGATGTGAACTGAAATGTTTCTCTCATTGGAACGAGTTGGGCGGCAAAAGTGGTTTTACGTCGCTTAGGGGATCTTAGGGGCATATAAATAGGTTATTGCGACTCCACGATACGGATTGTCCAGAAAGTACCACCAAATTACTCAAGATTGAAAAAATTTGTAAAAACGGTATCTTGGCGCCTGCGAGTCTCGGGGTAGGCCATCCCGCAGTACACGTATGCACTGCAGGCACCATATTGCCTACCTACCAGGCGCTATACGAGAGCAGGACAGGTTTGCAGCGGCGAATGACGGATGAACTATCTTAGTGATCCTTGATAGTGTGGCTCTGACTCCAGCTCACGGAGCAAGAAGAATAGGGGGTAGCACGTAAAGGTTGCTGATTGGTCGAGCCTTCACCCACCGGCGTGACGAAGGAGCGGGAAACTCTTGACCAATTGGGAACCTTTATGATCTACCCACCACTCTCCTTCCTCCGATAGCCGAAGTACACTACTCATGACGCGTCACTTCACGCCAGATTTCCCCGGCGACGGCTCAGCCAAGTTCACGCTGCGCTCCGGGACCATGTACTTCAACTACGTCGGCTGCGGCATCTTCATCGTGGACTCGGCGCAGGAGGCCGTGTACCGCATGACGGTGCTTCTGGACTGCAAGAACTTCAGCGACGCCGTGTTCCAGACCTTCTTCTACATCCTCTTGCATACGCACTTCTTCACCCCGTTTCTACACTGGCCCGCTGCGCCAGGCTTCGTCCGCTACCTCGACCGCTGGACCGAATTCCAGGTCAAGTTCTTGTCTGACAAATCAGAACTAATTTAATAGCTATGTATCTATGAAGTCCCTATAGAGCTAAAAACGGAGCTTGAAAATTAAGTCGGAAAATTTAAACCATAATTTTGTACGTTTTGGGGCCTTTTAAATTCACAACATTATTGTACATCTACAATGACTTTTTGTTGTTAATCAAACTTGCGAAAATTGTCGGAAATATACCTTTATATTGGGAGCAGAGGGAACAGGCACCCTCGGATAAAATATGTCGAATGCCTGCAAGGGCGGGAACGGGATGCGAACCTGCGGTCTGCTGCTGCAGGGCCGCTTCCGGCGGGTGACGGGGCGGCCGCTGGCCCTCTCGGTGCGGCCGCTGGCGCTGCACAAGAGCGTGGCCGCGCTGCTCGTGCCGCTGGTGCTCTGCTGCATCACGGCGCTCACCATGAAGACGGCCAACTGGAAGAACCAGCCGCTGGGCTGGATCGCCGCCGCCTTCCAGGCGTGCGTGCCGGCCTTCTGGGACGTCCTGGGCACCGCGGTGGTCAACGCGTCCACCGCGCTGGCGGGGCACTTCAGGGAGGAGGTGACGGCGGCCGGTGGCGTCCCGGAGCCGTCCAGGGTGCGCGCCTACCGCGAGCTGTGGCTGGAGCTGCGCGAGCTCACGGAGGGCACCACCAAGGCCTGGGGCGTCTGCACCATGCACTACGTCCTCGTAGCCACGGCGTCCGTCCTCGTCGCCGGCTTTGGCGTTCTCGCCCAGTGCACGGAGGTGCGTTCGTCGCCTTGAGTGGGTTGCCGTCCGGTGTCGAACCCAGACCTAAACCAGCCCAACTTGCGCAGGGCATCTCCAACCCCATCCTGTTCACGGTCATGTTCCTCATCTCGGTGGACTCGCTGTGGCACATCTCGGTGCTGTGCTCGGCGGGGCACCGCATGCAGGGCAGCGTGGGCGGCGCCGCCCGGGACGTGCTGCTGTCCATGCGCACCAGCGGCCGAGCCGGCGGCCCCGACATGGAGCTGCTGCAGAGCGAGGTGAGCAGGCCGAGTGGTCCCAATGGTCCCTACTCACTTACTCCAAGCGCCCGCGCCCAACTTGCGTCCAATTCGCAAAACTCCTCAAACACAGAGACTAGAGATATGAGACTTCCAGTCCGAGACATGAGACGGACATGAGACAGACACGAGACTTCCGGCCTCAGACATGAGACTTTGCCCCTGGTGCCCCTCCGACCGAGGACCGAGGTCATGTCCGGTCTCAGGGACCGTCTCAGGTCCGTCTCAGGTCCGTCTCAGGTCCAGTCGCAGGTTTTTTAGTCTCATGTACCCCCAGCCAAAACGCGCAACTAAACTCTGATGAACTAGCATAGCGTGTACTGAGTTCTGTAAACATGGCCCGCTTACGCATTTTTTAATACGCTAGTATGAAGAAATTTGTTCATACCAGAACAAATTTCTTCAAACTGGCGTAGTGAAAAATTCGTCAGCGGAGTATGTTTACTGAACTCAGTAAGCTATGAATAAAAATGTTCATAAGCAGATTTTAGTGTGTAGTGTATTGTGAGGAGGGGGGCAGCTTTTAATCCTTACATCTTGTTGCTGCGGGTGTTTTTTTTTTGTCCCATCTGTTGGTGTCGGTACTAGCGCACTTCACTAACTCGCAGACTAGCATACTGTTTTAATTAAAAAATACAAGTTTTACAGAATAATTGTACAGAATAGAATGGTATATATGAACTAGACACTTGACAGCTTACAAAATCCAAAACGTTTTAGACTTTAAACGTTTCTAAAGCAATAGTATTTCCTCTATTCTGCTAACCTTCCCTCTTAAGTTTCAGTCCTGTGTCACCTTAAAGAGAGGGAAATGTTGCCTGGTAGTAAAAGTTTTTAGATGCTTCTTAAGTTTAATAACTTTAACGAGAAAGTACAGAGCCAGAACGACATTGCTCTATTTTCCAGTCGGAAAGACGCATCGTTATTTCAGCATTCTACCTTTTGTTTTCTACTCAGGTGAATTATTTTCTGATTGTGATGAGGAAACCCCCTGTCATCTCCTTGTACGGGTACATCACTCTCAAGCTCACGCTCACCGTCACCGTAAGTAACAAGGCATTGCGGGGCAACTACTATCACCATCACTTGCTCCCATCTGGGACAAATTGGACAAATCTAGTTCCTATTTCTCATCAGTTCTGATTTCCACGTTACAGATTCTGGAAACGCTAATGACTTACCTCTGCGTGCTCTTGTCGTTCGCAGTTAGCTTCCAATTTGCGCCCTAACTCATGTTACCATGTGGATCCAATACACAGCACTGTGTATCAACACACACACAGTAGTGCGCCAGTAAGGCGCCATGGGCCGTCTCTTCCTACAACATACGTTATTTACTTTGCGTCCCTAAAAGATACGTTGTGTTCAGTACGTCTCTAAAACATACTTTATGTTCGGTACGCCCAGCGTATCTTTTAGAGACTTACTGTACCAACGCATTCTCTAGGAGGGAACCGGCGCCTGGGAAAGGTAAAACTACACTATTGGGCAAACAGAATATTCAATTAAAAAGCCAAAATTTCCTATATAGTTGTTATTTAAAATATTGAAACAGAGTTCAACCAGCGCCCGACTAGAGACGTTGTAACTGCGTGTGACTTTTATTTTGGTACTATCGTTTGTTATTTTAGATTTATATTCGTAGTTAAATCATGGATCCACGTAATCACGGGATGAAGAAAGCTTTGTATGCTATATTTACTGAGTAACAAATACTGGCGCTCTAGCGAATCGATAGATATAAGTAGTATGAATGGTATTCGTACTACTGATATAACTCAGTTGAGGCGGTGATGTGAGAAATTACCAGACCCAGTTACAGAAGTATTCTATCGTAAACTCTACAGTGACCACACCGAGCAGGTGGCCGAGTCGGACGTGCGGTCCGCGGAGCCGAGCATGCTGTCAGCGAGGACCGGGTAAGCTTCTTGGAACGCGACCCAGTCCTTGGAGTTGGCCAGAGTCTCCATGTTGTCCATGACGATGGCCGTGAGCCGGCGGCGCAGAGGTCTGTTGAGGATCTCGTGGAAGCCGGCGGCGTGCAGCACCTTCAAGGCATACGGGGCGTCGCAGGTCCAGAGCCTCAGCGAGCAAACTTCGCGGAGCTCCGGAACCATGTACTTGTCGGCGAGCAGCAGGAGCTCTACCTCCCTAGCACCCCAGTTTTTTATCGAGTCCGTGTAAAGGAACTCCAAAAACTTCTCTACAGCGCTTTTAGAGAAGTCTACCAACTCTACGCGGCCCTCTTTAGCTTCCTTGAAACTCCCCGTCATCAGCATCCTGTCCAGCACTGGGCTGCGGAGTGCCAGGACCATGCGGTGGGCGGGCAGCTCCACGCCCTCGACCACCAGCTTGCTGTCGCAGAGGTGGCCTTTCAAGCGGGCTTGGTTGAAGCAGAGACGGACGCCTGCGGGGGCGGGTACGTCGGTGATATCGTACACCATGAAACGAACAGCCACCCTTTGGAAGGTATCAGCGGGCAGCGATAAAACATTTTCAAATGATTTTCCATCCAAGACAACGTGCTTCGACACAACTGATGTATCTGATGTCGGTTGGGGTAATTGTTGCTGCGTGGCTGCGTTTTGTGGTGCCTTCTTAGTAGCAGGCCATCCGACCATCACGCAGTGCACTATGGGCGGAGTTGCGCACAGGGTCTTACTTTTTCTCAATGATAATGATATATGATTCAAGAGAACCGGCGCCGGCACATAGAGTGGCTGGGGTGAATTGGAGAACATGTGGCTTGGCGGTTGCCCCATAACTACAACATGTCGGTTAACTGGTTGACTGCCTCCTGATTTGCTATAGCGGAGGACAGGTTCAAATGAGGCGCGCCCGTCCTTTGTCTTCACTTCAGCGAGGGAGCACTCACCCTGCTTCTTCAAGGTATCAGTACGAGCTGTATACTCAACGAGATGCAATAAGCGCATCTCGGGGTGCGGCTTAGCATCCATGGGGGAGGAAGCTCGGTTCGTGTGAACTGAAACAAAAACATGGGTCATTGTAAACCAGGGGGGCTGTTACGGGACGGGCTTAGCCCAGCCCGCTACAAAATTTGTTGAATAAAGAAAAGAAGAGACGTAGAGCACAAAATTAGTTCTGTGCTACGGAATATAATTTTCTCTTAAACATTGGGCATCGCCCCTCTTGCGGTGGGATCATCCGAAAAGTTCGTCCCTGGTGATTATAAAAAAGCGTACATTTCCAGGTAATAATAATTAATCAAAATGTTCATTTTTAACTTTTACAAAGTTCTACGTTTCGTCTTCGACATGGGTTTTGGGGGGTTGGATATTGACAATAATTAATTAGCACCTCCAAATTCCACTTTTTAAAGTTACACGACGGTCTGACCAAAAAACAAGGTTATAGAGCAATTCTTGTAAAGTGGTATGCATCGGAGTTGGAGGATGAGTGGCCAAGAAAAAGTCGCTCTTAGTCCCCTACCTGTATTTAGCTGAAATTGAGCCTAATACCCCAGGGGCGGATTAAGGTCCGGCTGACAGGGAGGGGGGGGGATGCACTGGCGGTTGCCTACATACAGGGTTTTTTGTGATTTTTGACTACCTTTCAGGCGTCTCTCTAGAGACGACAGGGGGGGGGGGAGATCGCCCCCCTGCCGCTCCCTTAGTCCCGTGGAGGATGAGTGGTCAAGGAAAAGCTCGAGGAAAAGTGGTTCTTCGTCCCCTATCTGTATTTACCTGTAATAATGCCTATAATAAAAGAAGGGACCCGAGAGATGTTTGGTCAAGAAAAAGTCGTTTTTAGTCCCCTACCTCTATTTACCTGAAATTTGGCCTAATTACCCGTATTTACCTGTAATTACGACCGTCTGGAAAACCGCTTATCTCTGGAGACCGTTTGGAAAACCGCTTAAATGACTTTTTGCACATTTTGAAATATTGGTATCAAAATGATCCCTGAGGGACGCTGATTCTAATGACACCAATATCTCAAAATGTGTAAAAAAACGTTAACAATTCTTGTTAACTGGAAACGAACCCATGGTTGGGGACATTTAGTCGCTTTAGGTGTTTTGGGAACTTTAAAGGCAACCCAAGCATTCTTTAAATTGTTGACGTGTCTTTTTGCATGGTGTCTTTTTGCATAATGGACTTCTTATTTTATAACTGCTTACAATTTTCCGCGTAGCGGCGCGTAACCTAAAGATACCTAGTTTTCCGCGAGCGTGATTCTCACACCTTAAGTTTCACGCAGCCAATCAGGAATCGAATTTCATCAGGCAGGGCGAGAGAATCACGCCTGGCGTGCAAATCCACACTTAATTTGACACTATTTTTCACGAGGGCGGCACGCGCGCGCGGAGCGGACTACCCAGCGCAAGGTGTTCATTGTTGGGCTGTTACCCAGACGCGGTTCAAAATGCAACAGGTGGTGTTGAACGATCTCGCGCCTCCCCTCTGCTCCCCTCTGTATGGCAGAAACAGGTTCGTTTAAAAAGTCATTTAAGCGGTTTTCCACGGCCTGCAAAGGTAAGCGGTTTTCCAGACGGTTGCCAGAGGTTAGCGGTTTTCCAGACGGTCGCCAGAGGTAAGCGACTTTCTAAACGGTCGCTAGAGCGTGAGCGGTTTTCATTCTCGCGTTTCGAATTACGCCTGTATAGAGAGAGAAAGAGAGGGCCCCTGGAGGATGAGTAGTCAAGGAAAGTGGTTCTAGTCCCCGAACTGTGCTTACCTGTAACAAGACCTACACTGAAATCCGTTTTGTGATACTTTTACTGAATTTTTGCGATAACTGGTGTTTTGCGATTCCCGCGCTAATGGGCATGATAACTACAAAAAATGTGATAAAAGTATGACAACTGTGTCGGTGATCACTGGAGAAACTAATGTTACCGAGGGAACGTTTCATCATGTGACCAAGCCAGGTAACGTTTCCTGATGCAACCTACCCCATGCAGAAGGATAGGGCCGTCACAAACAGGTTCCACCGCCAAACAGTTCCTGGTTTGGTTGCGTCAAGAAACGCACTGAAAAGAAAATACATTAGTGCTAAGGACATGCCGGTCATCAAGGCCTGTTGCTGGATCAAGAACATTTTTGTTGCTAACCGTGCGACACTGTCCCTCAATCTACGACCGACTGTTCTTGAGCCACCTACATTGTCGTTAGGCCAAGGACCGTTGTCGCATGGTTAGCAACATATGCTCTAACAAGGGAAGGTTTTTAGGTGTTACACACCAATTTCGCTGGGCGCGATACATATTGCAGGGGACATATGAAGATTAAGATTGGCACCGGTTTTAGCTGCCCATACCATGTTTTTCGTTTGTTTTGGACAATTTTTAGTAGGAAAACATCATAAAAGCAGCAAAAATGTGATCTTCAAATGCGTATATCTCCGGAACCGTTTGAGCTACACCGTCCAGATTTTGCACAGAGGTAGTCTGCATAGATCCCTTAATCGTCTCAAACTATGAGAAGAGTCGAAAAAAATTGTTGAAATGGTCCGAAATCCAAGTCGAAATCCAAGTAAGGAAGGTGCACATAGTTTGGGGGGGGGGGGGGGCTCGTTTCATCTAAAAAAAATTCATCTAAAGTAATTTTTAATTAAAAATAGTTTTTACTAAAAATTGTCCAAAACAAACGAAATACATAGTATGGGCAGCTAAAACCGGTGCCAATCTTAATGTACATATGTCCCCTGCAATATGTATCGCGCCCAGCGAAATTGGTGTGTATAAACACCTAAAAACCTTCCCTTGTAAGCATAAAAGCATATGTTCTTGGAGCTGATCCAAGAGCAAAATGTTCTTGGGGGTGTTACAGCTGTCCTTAGCACTAATGTATTTTTTTTTCAGTGCGTTCCCTCAGTAACATTAGTTTTTCCAGTGCAGATTCCTGTATTTTCAGTGAAACTGTTTGTGCATTTGGTTTGAACTTACCACGCTCTCCGGATGTCAAGAAGGAAAAAACGTCTTACTGTCGAAACCAGCGGTTGACAATCTTGAAATCGCCTGGGCGGAACTGCGCACGATACTGTCCCTCTTCGTAAAGCGTACTTAATCAGTATAAAGTATTTATAAGAATAGCTCGAAACTCAACTTCGAAATTATGAACAAAGTAACCACTGGAAACCGTCACGATAGCTTCTGCTCTGCTCAGAAGTGTGTCCGTCAAGACAGCACGCCACACTGAACCGGCGACCATCGAAGTGAGTAGCTTGGGTTGGGCGATGCAGGGGGAATAACTCTGACGGGCCGCTATCTCGAAGTAGTGCACAGTACACACGCTGGCATCATGGCCGGCTCAAGGACACGGGCATGTCGACAGCACCCGACGAACAAAGCAAAACGGGTATTCCCTGCTTAACCTCTTTTGGCTGAGTGCCAAAGGTTTGTAAAAACAGGTTTGTCGATATTTTATTAAACTACACTGTAAATCAAACTATGTACATAGTACACTCTTCCTTGTGTGTACTTACTTGAAAGCACGAAGCGCGCACAAGGAAGTATGTGCCTGGCAGGGCACACACTAGGAAGTGTGTACATTCGTGGCACACACTTCTTAGTGTGTACGCGCAACATAGCGTAGCGCTACGGCAAGTACCAGGCACAAACTTTCTTGTGCGTGCTTTCAAGGACACACAAGGAAGAGTGCACTATGTACACAGTGATTTTCTTTGAAACGTGAGCAGAACTATTTTCCAGTGTTATAACCAACCAGTTCTCCGTAAGCTTACGAAACAAATTCAGTGGCCTCTTGCTAACTGTCGCCTGGCTAACTGTCGTGAGCGAGAGAGATAGATGTAGAAAAATAAAAATAGTGCGTTTTATGTGAGCTGACCGCCAGCTTCGGTGGCTCGCCCGACTCGCCTACCGGAGAAGTTGAGAGAGAGTTAGTAATGCAAATCAATTGTTTGTAAGGATTTCCATGAGATTGCATGGAAATGCTCCACCCCCGACGCACCTTATTGCCAGGGCTATCACGGAGCCTGGTTAGCCAGCCAAAGCCCCGGATAACGACATTCCGTTCTCCCTCTCCACCCGTCCCTCACCTTGTTCCAAAGGTGAGGGCGGAGCGGGAGGGAAGGGACGGGACGACGGAACGTCGTCTAGGAGGCTATCTCTGTAAGATCGGTCGAACGAAAGAACGAACGAACGAGCGAGCGAACGAGCGACGGGACAACACTGATAAACCAAGTGTTCAACTGCTCAACACCTGTAAGTGTGCAACCGCAAGTTTAATACTTGCAAGTGTTAAATTCAGTAGTAGTACACTTGCAAGTGTTCAACTCTCCTGTTGCACACTTCTCTATATCGGGCGCTTACTGTGGGGGAAGTGTTTAACAGAGGAGTTGCACACTTACAAGTGCACAAATACCGAGTTGAACACTTGCAACTGTGCTACTACTGAATTGTACACTTGCAAGTATTGAACTTGCGGTTGCACACTTACAAGTGTTGAGCAGTTGAACACTTGGTTTATCAGTGAAGTGTAAATGAGCTTATTAAACCATTTAAATTTACTGCAATCTATGAAATGACATATTTTAAAGGAACGTTATTACCCACGTCGCACCGTTCGATCGTTCGTTCGTTCCACCGCTCTTAAAGAGATAGCCTCTAGCCCGGGCGAACCGCGGCCACTATCTGGGCAGCTCCAGGGAGCGCATGGTGAACTGATGGGTAGGCAGGCCCGCCGGCCGTCTGTGCGCAAGTGGTAGCCCACCAACCAGGCGCCTTGAGAGAAAAGTGTCGGTGTTGTTTATACAAAAGAAGGTGTTCCCAAGTTGGCTTGTATTGACGTGTATAAGACTTTATGTGGATGTCTTCGAAGAAGCACTGGTATATATTAGTTTATCCAAAATCACGCTCGCATCTTATGAACTCTGTATCCACCTTTGGGTAAAGGTGGATTCAGAGTTCCCTAGAAGCAAGCGTGATTTTCACGCCCGGCGTGATGGAAGTCGATCCCTGATTGACTCCGTGAAGCTTGCGAAGCGTGAAAATCACGCCTGGCGTGAAAATAACGCTTGCGTTTCGTGAACTCTAAATCCACACTTAAGCAAAATCAACAAAACAAAATAAACCAGTAAAAATAATCGTCAATATTGTGGACACAGCTCGTCTCTTCTTTCTAAACACAAATTTGAAGGTGAATCTGCTAAAAATCTGTAAAAAAAAATTGGAGTAACTTTACCCTTTTGGGTGACGTAACGCTCACTCAAGAAAATCGGGTGATTAATTTTATCGACCCTTGGAAGAGTAATTTTACTACATACATGGGTAGGTAAAATTCTCAACCCACGGGGTGAAATTTTTGATCTCATGGTAGAGTGTATTTACTAACCCACGAGGTTAAAACAGAATGATCTCCACCTCGGGTATGAAGCTGAACCGTATGAAAAAAATGTGTCACCCTACTGAGAGTTGAACCTCGGACTTTCCGATTACGGATCCGAGCCTTTAACCACGGCGCTACCCGCGCCTACCTAGCGAGAGACACGCTGGCTCATAGTGTAGTGTCTTTCCTCCGGAGTGCTCCGTGACTTCTATTTGTAATTTTACCCTCGGGGGCGTGAAAAACATTGTTTTCATCCAGGAGGGGTAATTTTACCAACAAACAGTAGGCGAAATTTACTCTGTAATTACCTGCCCAAATGCTGATTTTGTCTCACCATTCTTAGATAAATCGAGGGGGAAATCACTTGCGAAATAGTTCGTACACCTTCCCCCGAAATAGTCCGAAATAAAGGCGAAATAGAGGCGAAATAGAGCGAAATAAAGACGAAATAGACGCGAAATAGTCGGTGAAATAGTCGCGAAATACCCCTGAAACACTCCGAAATAGCGCGAAATAGCCTGAAATAACCCGAAATAGGCGGGAAATAGCCGAAATGGCAGGAGAAATAACCGAAATGGTAGGAGAAATACTACGAAATAGTCCGTACGCTACGAACCCTAGTGATTTCCCCCTCGAGATAAATAGTTGTGTGGGAGATAAATTACTTTTTACCAACCCATTATTAGGGTAAATTTGGATTACCGAATGGGAGACAAAAATTACTCTCCCAATTTGAGACAAAATTACTCCTGATTTTTTACAGCACGTCAACTCGCGCACCACTCGCATTCCGACTCGTCGAACTCGAACCTTGTCGGACTCCGACTTGCTCGGAGTCCCTAACTACATACATCACTCTGACTATGTTTGGTGCACATGTAGCTGGTAAATAAGAAGTTGCTTTTGCGTTATTTTTAAATACATTTATTTACACGGAATACATGCCATCTACCGCCCAATCAGAGGCACGTAGTTGACTGGGTTGAACTGGTTTAGCTCTCTGGCAGCAGAGTTGAAGAGGTTGAACCCGAGCGTGGGTGCAGCCGTGAGTTGACTGAGTGTGGCTGCGAAGCACAGAGAAGTTACGATTAAAAGTACGTATCGCTTACAAGATTCTGTTGCTTTTTAGGCAGAGCAACAAGTGCGTATATTCAGCTATTCTTCAGGATTGCCCCTAGCCCCTGTAAAACTTAACTTACGGGACTGAGAGAGGCACTGGTTGACGGTCAGCATCAGGCTGTTCTGGAAGACGGGGTCAAAGGCACGCGAGGGGAAGAGAGCGCCCATGAGCGCGGCGGCGCCCTGAGGTTGTAGCGGATAGTTGGGCTGCATCTGCGAAAGCAATAATCGACATTAATTTATGTATAAGAAATAAAAGCGACACAATTATCGACGATTACTTCGGCACAGGATGAACCGGGGATCTAGGATGCGACATTCATTCGACTCAGATAGCTCCTCCGGCCGCTCTAGTAGTGGATCCGAGAACTTCACGGTAAAAACAATGCTCGATTTAAGAGGGGAAAGGAAAATTTTGTAGACAGACTCATATTATCAGGGAATCTCATCAAAAAGAAGGACTATTCCCTCCTTTTTTTGCTGTGCACGCGAAGGTAAACTATTCGATCCCAAATTGAGATTAATTTGAGCCCAATAAATTTGATTACAACTGTACCTAAGATTATCAAGTACATTGAACTCGATGATTCAAGAAAGTGTATTTGCATATGATACAAGAACGCGCTTTCCTGCGTGCTCCTCCTCCCCCGTCGTGCCCCGCAGCCGCTCCCCGGGGAGCAGGGCAAGGTGGCAAGGTGGTGATAGGGGTGGCCGCGCCCAGGCCTGACCGGGCCCGACCAGGTTGCCAATCAATATTGACTACAGAGTGGACAGTCGCACCGGCCAGGGACGATTATGTTGTCATTTCACCAGCCAGTAACGCAGTTTGCTTTAGAGACTGATGGATAGGCAGTTTGGTCCTTCACCGTTCACCCCCCTCCCCCCACAAACAACAAAAAACAATTGTTTAAAACTATCTTTTTCCTCCCTTCACTTCGGTCGCTACTTACAAAACCCAATCGTTGAGCGGCACACGCCAGCAGACACTGGTTTAAAAACACACAAAGAAAATGTTATCGTGTTAGGGAGAAGTATTGGCATCAATAAATTCGACGAAATGGATGGACTAATTAGTTGTTTGATTCGAGAGAAACGGACAGATGTGTGCGGTGCACTTACCTGGCCAGACTGAGACACGGGCAGGACTTGCCGCTGCAACTCCACGACGTCGACTGAAAATTGGGAGAAAAACGTTCTAATTTCCTGGGGAGGACATTCTATCATGTCGGAATCATCTTAAATATTTAGTAGGTTTGTAGGTTTGTTTAGAATTTTCTTACGGTCCGTTGAGGGCACGGTCTGCCGGCACTGGAGGAGCACTGAGTTTTGCGGCGAGTACGGCGTCGGCAGCAGTAGCTGGGGCTGCGGCTGGGGCTGCAGCTGGGGGGGTTGCAGCTGCTGCTGGGGAGGTTGCGGCTGCTGCTGCGGTTGCTGCGGTAGGGAGGGGCTGGCGGTGGTCGGAGTGGAGGACGAGAGCTGGGCCTAATACGCAAGACGCCATCCACACCAGAATCATATTAAAGCCAGAGATTCACTAGGAAAACAAAGGTGTTATTGAGGCACGTCATTTAGACCTGCTAAATGTTTTTCACGCTCTCGCCTTATTTGCAAAGGAATTTTAAGTGTTGGAGTCACTAAATTTAAGGAGACAGGCAGCTATCAAAATAGCTCTCTAGAGACGACAGGGGGGGGGGGGGATCTGCCCATCCTCCGCCTGACCAGTGCTCCGCAACTTATTACTTAACTGTCTTAAACGGTATATTAAGAGTTAAAGTTCAGAGCCTGAATCTGGGGCCCGGATCCACACTGACCTGGGAGCCAACAGCAAACCACATGAGCAATAAGGCGGCTGTGAAACTCAGCACACTTTCAGGAATAGTCGCCATTGTGCTTTAAAAATTGGACAAAAAGAACTCACACAACGACACTTAATAATAAATAAAACTGATGCTGCGTGTGCACTGCAGTCTACTGGCACGAACATAAAGCAGGCTCAGGGCGAATGGGGCTCTTATATAGCCGCGGACAGGCAATTTTCACTGAGCTTCCCGGTCCCTGCTCCTACGAGGCA